CAGTCCTTTCTGGACTTGCCAGGTTGTGCAGGAGAAATTGTCCTGTGTGCCGGTGTCATTGCCTCTGGCCAAAGTGGGAAAAACGTGTAAATAATGTGCAAGATAATTAAATTCAAGCATGATTTGACGGTTTTTCTCCCCTCTGTTTGCAGTGATTAGGACAGGCACTGTTTGATGGGACCAGTGAGATAAATGTTGGTCATTGGCTCTATGCTGTCATTTGTTATTTCTTTTTGGATATGCAGGCAAATTTTTCCTGCTGGTAAGGAAACTGCACAACGCAGAAAATTCACGCATTATTTTTCTTGTCAGTGGTGACGGAGGACTCAACCTGCACAGCTCTCAATACGAATCCCAGGTGACTCTGCGAGCGTTTCAGGAAATGTGTCGGCCCTCCAGTCCGTCCGGGCACGTCATCCCGGTCCCACCCGTGCCGCACGGTGCGTCATGCGCCTGTCTTTCAGAGTTCTGAGTTTTCTAACTGAAGTAGAATATTAGGTAAGTATTTTAATTTTTGTATTTTTGGGGAATGCAAGACTCTGGGTCCATGAGAAGGAACAAGCTAATGTATATTTTAGGATTTTTCATGAAGATTTTTCAAATTTATGATGTGATGGATTCACTAATTAATTTTTTCATAAAAAAAAATCATGGTTTTTGCCAACTCTGCTCAAGAGGTTTCCTTGAACAAATTCCTCTTTCCAGTAGTACTTCTTACTAGTACTTAGTTGTACTGAAGATAATCCATCTGGTTTGTGAATGCTCCGGAATGATCAGGAATCCATTTCATTTTTGCTTCTTGCAGACAATATTTAGCCAGTGTTTGGTAGTGATAGACTCTTCAAAGTGTTTTATTATGAAAGCTGTCAAAACAGAAGGGGAAACTTGAATTTGAACCCCCTTCTAGGGAGAGTCTTTTGCTTTTTGATGTTTGGTGTTCTTGGTTTTGGGGCAGTGTATTGAATAAAAAGTGGGTGTTTGATGTTTCATTGTCTTTTTTTGCTGACTCAACTGTTCAGTTGCTGTCAGCTTTGACTTGGGTATGATTTAGTTTTGAGAAATGTGAAGCTGTAAAAAACTTGAAAATTTTTTGATAAAAATGTATCAAATTAAAAAATTTTATTTTCCTTGTCTCCTGTAGAAGTGGGAGATTGGGGAAATGTGTCTTGGGAGGAGATCGCTATCGACTGCGTTCGATCTCGGAACCGGCTCCCCCAAGTGTGCCGCTGGGCCGCATCTCGGAACCATTGGCCGCTTCTTGTCTCCCTCTCTGCCGTCTTCTCCTTCCCGCAGGATCAAGTAAAAGTCCTTTTCTACCATGGCAATTGTCCTGAATCCAGAATGAAAAGTGTGGGAGGAAGGCCATTTCCCTTCCAAATAGTCAATTTGAGGAATGGAATGTGTTGAAAAGCTGAAATGCCTCAATTGGGTGGGATCAGCTGATTTTTATGGGAATCTGGGTATCAAGAGTGCTAAAGCTAAGTCCTGCCTGGTCTTTCTTATTTGCTTGAAACTTCCCTGTTGCCTTTGTTACTATCATCGATTTGCCAGTTGGCCAGCTTTGACTGCTTTATCACTGGCTGTTGACAGCTCTAGCCCAGGTGGCAAAGGACAGAATTTGACCTTGGAAGAAATTTAAATTCTCTAACATTTCTGTAATACCATAATCATTACAGGTGATAGAGTGCTTGAAGGAACTGCCAAGTCGAGTGCTGGGAGAGAACTTGGAATTCGCCCTCGGGATCCCTCTGAAAAGCGAGACGCCTTCCGCAAACACGTCTCGCGGTCGGCTCTACTCGCGGATCGGCGTTTCTCCCGAGAAGGTACGCCTGTCCCCTTTGGGTGACTTCTTGCATGTTAAATGAAGCCGTCAGAATTGTGGAAGTGGGGGAGGGTGACATTGTTTGAGACATTTTCTCCAGAAGTCTCAGGCTGTTAGCAGGTGACAGCTTGCACACGCAACAGTTTTGCATGTTTCCATGTCTTTTGTGATGAATGCCTGTTTTGGTGGCATCTGGGATTGCCTGTCAATGATGTCGTTCTGTGTGACAGCAGCGAGGACGAAGTGATCCGAGGCAATTGCACGTACGCCCCATTGCGGAATGGATTCCCTTAGCGATCCAGAATTTCTGAGTTGATCTCTTGAGACCCTGTTTTTTTCTTTTCAGAAAAGACTCAAATTTGGAAAAACAATTGAAATGAAAAATAAAAATTTGAAAATTCAAATATATTCATCATTTCATATAAAACTGAATGGATCACGTCACATTGCAAACAGGGAAACAAATAAAATACATATTTACTCATTCTTGAACTTTCAACAAATTTTTCATTATGAAGTAGGACTAAGAGGAGCAAGCAACTTCTTTGCAGTTTCGTTTGAGTAGTCCATTATATATGACAAGTTTCCATGAATTTTCATCAGTTGTCAGTGGCATTATCACAGAGTTACAGTATTTTATTTTTATAACTCTAATCTCAGGTTAAAAGGTGAAATTTGCAGTAAAATGGAGTGAAAAACTTTTTACCTGCCTCCAGAAATGGTTGACATTCCTAGCAAAGAAGAGATGACTCCATGTCCGATTGACTGGACACAGAGTCCAGTCTGCGGCACTGCTAAGAAGTGGGGATTTATTTTGTGGCAGAGTGTGTCTTTCAACTTACTGTGGGGTTTTTCCCCAGCATGCAGGAATGTTTAATTTGCAGAGATTTTACCTGTGAAGTTTTTCTTAAATTCCCCGTGCGAATCCCTCCAGCTGCCGGGCTTGGGATTCGGCAGTCCTGGCTCCAGTGACGCAGGGAGCCTGTTTGAAGAACTCGCCTCGGACGCGTCCCTGGCGAAGCCGCGGATCCCGGGGAGTCCGTCGGACCTCTTCGCCACGATTCTCGACGCCCAGCGCGACCCTCGTCCCGGACCCCGTCTCCTTCGACTGACCTTTGACCTCAAGAATCCTTTGCTTGCAGTTCTTGCAACCTGCTTTCAGGTCAGTCCACCTGAGATGTTTGCTTTCCTTTTAGAGCAGGTA